ATACCAGGAGGAAAAACTCCAGCACTTTAATCCTATTATAATACATTTATTTTTTCCGTTCCCCATCTATCCCAGCTGTAAGATTATGTCCCTGCATCCCATTAAAGCCCATATTCTGTTTTTTTGGACCTCTATTAGCATCATTTCCTTCATCAAGCCACATTAATTGTGAATGAATGCAAACTCCTGCAGAAGAATACGGCCTTCAAGAGGTCTGTCACATACTTTCTCCACTTGGGAGGACCTTTAACCTACTTAGCATGGGAGCCGCAACGTTTCAAGTAGTGCGGCTGAAAGATATGCACCTGCCCGCTTTTTACTCTCGCACTGCGCCGCGATTTAAGAGGAGAGAAAGTATTTGATCTAAATGGTGCCACAATGGCCGCAGGTGTGGAATTTCCTCCACAAATCTGTGCAACAAATAATCCTCATAGGCCAGACATGGGAGGCCGGAAAACCAAATTTAGGATTGCAGAAAGTATTTCTACTTTTGAGCGTAAATACAGATAGATTAGATCTATTTTTATGTTGCGTCATAAAAAAAAACGCGCGCACAAATGAATTACTTATTAAACCTTAATTTTCCGACAAATTACTGACAAGGAGAAAGAACTAATATAAAATCGCCAAAATGCCTGTCATTAAATTTTTTTTTTTTTTTTTTTGGCTTTTTGTAAAAAAAAAATTGCGTTGTAGTTGAAGTTCTACATTAATTTTTGCAGGAACTTTACATTTAACTGAAAATATCAAGCACTTTACCTCAGCGTCTATGACTGAAACCTATTTAGATGTATCTTCTGGTGCTGGGAGGTCTACTGGTTTTTATAAACCTCAACACTCTGAAATATAATGTATTTTTTATACCATTCCCTGCAGATTATAACCCTAAAAGCACGCTGAATGCTGTTTAACTCATAATTTGCAAAAAAGGAAATGAAATCAAGTGTCCAAAACAAAGCGCGCATATGGATGTAGCCTATATTACGCACGGCGGTTTATCTGATTTCTAATGAATTTAGATTGAACAAAAAAGAGAAATATATATTTAGAACTGCAAACTATGATATTACCTTTATCTGTAAGATGAATCCTGAGCATATATTAAAAAAAACCACAAAAAAAAAAACAGAAATCTTTAAATGGAGACGTTCGGGGAAACATGACCAAATAAATCCTGCTGTTTTCTGCACTCTGTCCTCGGCCGGTGTGTGATTGAGTTGGCAGGTCAGGACCCTGGCCCTTCAGCCATCTCTACGCATCTCTCAGGGTATTGAACTCGCATCAACGAGATGGGAAAAAGCACTTCAGGAACCAGGCCGCCTGGATCCATCTGCTGCTTTGAGCTAAGGGAGGGGTGACGGTATCGGAAAAAGATTGTGTATAGGATATAAATCGGTGATATTAATGGTTTGGTATTGAATTCTGGTAAACAGCAGTTAAATGGACAAATGGAGACGTACAGGTGCGTTAAGAAATGAACTGAGCCTCGCTGGTGTGAATTTAAACAGTTATTACTCAATAAATAAACAAATGTTTATCTTTTTGCCATTTAATTTCAGCCATACGTAAAATTATATTGTAAAAATGGGCTAAAGAAAACATAGGCTATTTATGTTGGCATCACTGAGTCTTAAATATTACCTTTAATGTAGTAGAAGAATGATTTGTAAGGCGCTTAATGGATGCGTTAGCGTTAAATAATAAAAGAAAAACACATTTTTTTCTTCACTATGCCTTTAATTCTTATCATTAGATATCCATGTTGCCAAGAGTCTATAATAAAAGACTATTTAATTGTCAAACATAAAGATCAACAAAGTGAATTAAGGGAAAATTGTTTAATTTGTAAAATAATAATAATAATAATAATAATAATAATAATAATAAAAAATAAAATAAAAAGAAGCGTTATAGACCAACCTTGTCGCGTATCCGCATCAGACGCGTTTATTGTGCCTCCACCTGGGTCTGTCGCATCTTATCCCCTGCTTTTTGAGAGTTAACATGGTTTTTAAGAATTTAAAAAACCGGATCCTTATCTCATGCAAGCGTTGCAGCAATCGAGCTCCAGATTTTTATGGGATCCTGATATGGAGGGGGGGTTTGCGGACTACAGGGTCCTGCTCTCTGACTCAGTAATCCACAAGGTTGAGAGGTTTGTCTGATTTACATAATGTTAGAGGTCTGGGCCGAGGCCTACCTTTCTTTCTTTCTTTCTTTCTTTCTTTCTTTCTTTCTTTCTTTCTTTCTTTCTTTCTTTCTTTCTTTCTTTCTTTCTTTCTTTCTTTNTTCTTTCTTTCTTTCTTTCTTTCTTTCTTTCTTTCTTTCTTTTTACGTGAAACATTGTTCCCCCAAAACAGTTGAGAATAGCGCATGAATGAAGGTACCAAGAGTTGGCTATTAGAAGAAAAAGGAAATTTTACTTTTTACATTATTATTTTTTTTTTACTGAAAACAACAGGAAGTTTTTAATCATAGCCTACACATTGATCAGAATGCGAAATATAAAGTTTAGTTTTTTCTGTTTTATTTATTTATTTTTTTTTTTATCTGCATCTTTGTTGTAGAAGCCTAGTGAATTCTTTTCTCCATGGCGACCATAAAGATGAGCCACTTCAGGTTAAATCCGTTCTGGCATCTGAAGGGGAAAGAGAAGAGTGTAGGAACGACAGAAAGAAATGCGACGATTTATTACGTTCAGGTTATCAACCTAAACGATGGAAACCGACGTTCTCGCTCTGCTGCTATAATTGATGGATGACCATGTCACATCTTCATTTGTTCAATTAGGGTAGGTAGCTGCTTGCCGCCATCATGCCATGGTAAATTTCATTAGTGGGTTTCTGCAGCAGAAAAGAGAGCTCCTCTGCACGATAAAAGGAATGAAGTAAAATAGAAATTAGAAAAAAGTCATTTGTTCTCCAGATTGAAAATAACCTAAAAGTATGATCATTTCAGTGCAATCTAAATGAAATGCATATGTGATAATTAGTTTTTTACCCATGTGAGAATCTACACCTTGAGTATTCTGTGCTGTTGTTCATTATTACATTTTGTTTTCCCTCCTTGACCTCTTTCTTGTTTCACTCTTCCTCCTATTCTTCCCTTGGCGCCAGTCAGTTTGCTCAGAGATTACAAGGTCGGGGCAAGACTGCAAACCAGATTTGGGGATTTAAAGCCTGTATATTTGTCTCCGAAGTAAATCAGGTCAAAACATCACCAACATCTTCCTGAATTTAGTTAGACTTACTCATAACAGAACATATTTGAACAAATTTGTCTTTTTTAAACACACAAATCTATGCTCTCTCAACATGCTCTCAGTTTATAAAAGGGCACAAAAGAATGCATTGAGGACACCCTAAGTTATATTAAGAAAGTTATATTGATAAATAGAGATTGTGTATTGTAATAGCTCATAAAAATCGTGGAAAATAATTGTAAAATTGTTTAACGACATTCCTTTATGTTATATTTTGACAAAAGCAGTAACTTTACTTTGTTTTGTTAAATTCTGAATTACAAGTAATTTATTTATTATGTGATAAGGCAAACAAACAGTTACACTTTGTATATCATAGAAACAATTGACTTACCTATTAAATACAAAGCAGCAAGCTTAATTAACAGGGGGTTAACAAACAAGCAACTTTATAAAAGAGGTATAGGAATGTTGGATCTCCATGGAAAGCTTGTATCAAAAAAGGCTACATTTTATGTTATAAGGTTAACTCTACAATGCCAAATAAGGACAGGCACTCCTGAGACTCCTATCTCTTAACCAGACTTGATACTTTCCCAAAATGATGATTTTTGCATCAAGTTACTATATTGGTAGATATGTGTAAAGGTGTATGCATTTTTAAAAGAGTTTTATGTTTTTTAACAGTTTGTGCATTCTATAAAAAACTTTAATGGGAGTGCGGTATATGGAGTGACCAAAACCCAGTGTATTAATTATGATTTACCAGAATAACAACATCAGCCAATTATATATATATATTTTTTTTGTTGTTGTTGTTGTTGTCTGTTTTATTGGGTAAATACATTTTTAAAATATGATTTTCTCACTTTTTTGTTAACATGATATTGTTATTAAAAAAAAAAACATCCTAAAACCTTTATATCTTTTGCAAGTTATTCTTAATATCTTATCTAGCTGAGTAAATAAGTTGTTAAACATATTCTAAAGGTGGGCCATACGTTTTGCAGCCATCACCATAAAACATCATCACAGTCACAGAGACCAAAAACGTGCACACAAAAAAAAAATGAGTTGAAAAGTTGGCTTTTTTTCGTGAAAATAGGCTACATCACAGATACACGTTTTTAATCATCAAAAAATACAAAAAAGCAAAAAAAAAATCCCCAAAAGAAGAAAAGTTAATAATTTCCCCAAAAGTCAAAAAGGGGAATCCCTGAAAAAAATTCCTGAAAAAACCAAAACCTAAAAGTTTTTTTTCACCAGCATGTTTGAAAATTTACAAATAAAATATAAAAACTGTTTGGATATGGATCCTAATGCCCTTCTCTTCATGCATTTTTACCATTTTGATCTTATTTGGGTTGCCCCTCTCTGGTGGGGTAAAATGATGCTCAAGAAGACCAAATGAGCTGGTCATGCAACTTCATTGTGGCTCTTTGATGATACTCGGTGGCCCTTATGTCTGTTCAAAGTGCTCTCAAAGTTTCTGGAAAGAGTGGAATTCCCTACTGACGCAAAAAAAAAAAAGTCATATGTAGAAAGATCAGCTGATGGACAGAAAATCAAGAGTTCTTCTCACATGGATAAAGTTGTCAGAATGAACATGTTCACCAATTGTAATATTAGTTGTTTTTTTCGTTCCCAGAACTTATCCTGAAGCAAAGTGTGTTTTCATTAGTTATTTCCCTTAAAAAATGTAAATGACCATTGTTTGCTGGTTTAGGAGTTTTGCTCCGCCCCCCCGGTGTTTGTCGTAAACCTGGCTACTGGCTCCAATAAACCCGGGCTAAGAGCGCCCTGGGCTCGCCTCCTTCTCCAAGGCGATCAATAGGATCTCAGGCGCACTCCAAGCACTCTCTTACGTAGACATCCACCAAGGAGAGAGCCGATACAACAACACGGTTGATCTGCTCAAACACAAAAATCTACCTGCTTTCTGAATCATGTCGTTGAGCCCAAAGCATACAACGCCTTTTTCAGTGACAGATATTTTGAGTCCAATCGAGGAGACCTACAAGAAGTTCAGTGCCATGGACGGCGCAGGGAACCTAACATCTCCACTGGGAGCCTACCGACAGCCTCAGGTGTCTCAGACCGGGATGCAGCAGCACTCCATGGGCCACAACGCCACCGTGGCTACAACTTATCACATGCCGCACTCCGTCTCTCAGTTCTCCCACGGCGCAATGGGGGGATACTGCAACGGGAGCATTGGCAACATGGGAGATCTCCCGTCATACCAGGAAAGCATGCGGAATACTGCAGCAGCTACAGGATGGTATAGCGCGAACCCTGATCCAAGATACTCCACAAGTGAGTTCGACTGTTGTTTTCTTCACATTTTTATTGTTTTAATTTTTCACTTTATGATAGAAGTGCAATGCTAAAAGCGCGCGTAAAACCCAGCTGAGATAATATGCTTTAAAAGAATTATTAATTATGTTTCCACTTATTAGGATGATTTATATTTAAAAAAATATTTAAAGATTAAAACTGAAAAGGAGATCATTCTTTCAAGTCTGACTCGACTTTTACTCTTCTTATTATTGTGTTATTACTATTATTGTTCTATTATCATTATTATTACAACTATTATTATTATTATTATTATTATTATTATTATTATTATTATTATTATTATTATTATTATTATTATTATTATTATTATTATTATGTTCTTTAAAGCATTTTGATGTTACTCTTTTTGGATCAATACATAATTCAAATAAATAAAAGTACTTCAGGCGAAATAGTGTTCTCCTCTTCTGTTTATTGAACGCATGTATATGTATGTATATTTTTAAGTTTCTAGATTCATGGGACCTTCCACAGGTATGAACATGACTGGCATGGGGAGCCTGACGGGGATGGGAGATGCCAGCAAAGCCATGCCAACTCTGCACGCTGCGCCAAGGAGGAAAAGGCGCGTCCTGTTCTCGCAGGCTCAGGTATACGAGCTGGAGAGGCGGTTCAAGCAGCAGAAATACCTGTCGGCGCCCGAGAGGGAACACCTGGCAAGCATGATCCACCTGACGCCGACCCAGGTGAAAATCTGGTTTCAAAACCACCGGTATAAGATGAAGCGCCAGGCCAAGGACAAGGCGGCGCAACAGATGCAGCAACAGCAACAGGACGGCAACATGTGCCAACAGCAGGCACAGTCCCCGCGGCGCGTCGCGGTGCCTGTTCTTGTAAAGGACGGTAAACCGTGTCAGAACGGCTCCAACACACCGACGCCAAATCAGCAACAGGTGCAGCAGAACCAACAACAGAGCCAGCAGCAGAACGGAGGCGGGGTGGTGCTCGCGTCTTCAGCCGGGAGCCTCGGGCAGCATCAGAGCCAGCAGCAGGTGAACGCTTTGGATCTGGAGGAGATGTCACCCAGTCCGCCCTCACTGCACAGTCAGCTGAACATGGCCCAGATAGACACATCTGCTGTAGATTACACCAGTAACATGGTCAGCTCAAACCTCCTTTACGGCAGAACGTGGTAGGACCTTCAACAGTACAACAGTACTGTTACCTCTTACTTTTCCAGCCGATATATATATATATATATATATATATATATATATATATATATATATATGGGTCAAAAAGGACAAGACGCACAGAGGCGCACAGTGGCGCAAAGACGCGCATGGACACATTTTTCTTAACGTCTCTGGCAGAGGGAGTCTATTTTTGAACATTACACAGATGGTCGCCCTTTGACAGAAACCATGTCGTTTCTGGACCTTTTTGTAACTCATGTTTTGGACCTTCCTCATGATGTTTTAAACGTAGTCTATGTTGTTAAAACGAAAAGGAATGCTGCTTCACTTCTTTGTACTGATGAGGAGGAAAGGTGGAATCAGGTTCGAACTCCACTAAAACCGCCACTCCTTCTTTGGTATTTTATCATATTAATATTGTAAACTAATGTATTCATTTGATTAGGCTTATTGAATAAAGTAGGTACTTGTATATTTGGCTAACACACACCAACAACCTGCGTTTTAATGTATGATAATCGTTATAGCGTCCACAGTTATGTTTTCTTTAATATTTTTTTTGTAAGTTAAAAAAAAGAAAAAAAAACAAGGAACAAATGCGTGATGGCTGCTGTATATGTTTCAAAACCAAGTGAACGTTAACAATAAATAACTTGAAGTGTGAGAGCTATTTCTGAATAAGTAATTTTTTTAAAGGGGTTTCTGTTTTGGAGTGCATTTTCATTATGTTGTTATTGAGACCAAATTGAGCTGGAAAGCAAGGTCGATGAGGGAGCCAGCATTGTTCAGGTGACATTTTGGAGGGCTTGCTTTCATGGGAGACATCGCCTCTTTTCACATCTTTAACATTTTTCAGTACATTTAAAAGTATTTGTTTAGTATATTTTGTTCTATATTTCTTTTTTTTCCCTTACAATCTATTGTAAGGGGATATCTCTATATGATTATAATCTATTTTATAGACCCAGACCTTCGTTTCGATGCCCTTTAATAGCTTTATTGTGAATGTGCGTTCTTTTATCAAATACACAATTACAGCCAATTATTGCAATAAGGGCGAACAGCGTTATATACCTACTGGTTATTATGTTACCCCACATTAATATACATGCACTACTATTATTAATATTATTGCTATTATTATTATTATAGTTTTTAGATATATCGTAATAATGTTCAAAATATTAATTATTTTAAGCTGGGATGAACAACTCTAAAACTGTCCTATTATTTTACAGTTTAGTTTTTCTAAAAAATGCCCCACTGTAAACTAAATTTTAGAAAAATAATATTATTAATGGCAGAAAAGCTTAATTCTTAGAAAGAGTTCTTTAAAAGGTTTCAATTATTTTTTGACCCTTTAAAGTTGCTAACTTTTTAAAATACGTTACACAAAGTCAACTAAAAACAGCAAACATTAAACTTGTATATCAGACACAAACATATGTCATGTAGGCTAAGCAAGATTGTTTAAAGCTACAAACTTAAAATTGATCTCAGCAAATTAGATGTTTTTTTACTTCAATATGAACAAAGTGTTTTATTTACATATTTTTTTATTTAGATATTTTTTCTCTTCGCTGTTATCACTCTATTTCAAATATTATTATATTTAGAGATGTACAGCAATAATTCAAATTGGGAATAATAAAACATTAAATTCTGATAGGAAAGTCTGGGTAATACATTAATTTCAATTATTTATTATTTAATGCAATTGAAATAATCCATAGAAGTTTCACATTAACAAAATGATAATACTACTACTACTACTACTACTACTAATAATAATAATAACAAAATTATTATTATTATTATTATTATTATTATTATTATTATTATTATTATTATTATTATTATTATTATTATTATTATTATAATAGTGGGAATTATTTCCAAATTTTAAGGTTATATCTTTGTGTGTACCATTTAACTTCAGTTCTGCTAAAAACTCAGACCCCACCTGCAGCAGCTGATAATCATATTGTAAATCTTTCGTGGTAACATAATCATGTTCTGTAGTTATTTTTCAATCCCCTCACTGATAACGCCCAGTGTTGATGACGGTGATGTTGGCTATCAGTGCAGCTCAATAGAAAGCTTGAGGGGCCTTCCTTTTAAAAAGAAACCCTTCCACATACCTGACAGCTGCATGTTATATGTTATCATCTCTGCACTTAAAGGAAGCACCAGAGCCAATATGCACCTGACATTTGAAAGTAAAGCTTGAAAACACTTTCGGAAGACAGTGTGATCAGGCCGTTAAACTAGAAATGAACTGCATAATACACGCTTTGGGGCTGCAAGATGTGTCTTGATAGATTTTCTGGCTAAATTATGGCATGAATGAGTTGTCAACAAAGCTTTTCGATGGTGGACCGCATGAAATGAAAGTAGAGGTGAATCCATTCTCTTCTCTTTTCAATAGCCACAGTTATGGCACACTAATAGGCTATGCTAGGTAATCATTGGCCATTGTGCCTGTTGTTACACTCAGTTTATTTGGAGATCGTGGGGGAGCTTACCTATTTTGGCAAGGAGATATGAGACAAGTTTGGCTCTATAATTGGTTGTGGCATCATCATTTCTCTCTGAAGTTTTGGTGCTGCAGTATGTGAATCTAGCTACAAATACTGCTTAAAGATGTGAACAACAACCATGGCCATGCATATGTACTCTTGCCCATGGACATTTATAAACACAGACAGAGCAATTGAAGACTAATGCATTATATGAAATTACCTCTATTAAACAAATCGGATATTTCCATCAGGGCTGGAAGGGGTCTCTATCATTACTTCAGTGCTATATACAGTTATTATAAAGCATAGAGCAGAGGATATTGTGTTTCACCGATGTAAAGGATTTCTTTGCCTATTCTTCTCAGGTAATTGCAGGTTGCACTGCATAATGTGAACACAGAAGGAAGCCTTGCTTCAGCCTCCTGCAATACCCCCATTCCCCTCCACCCCAACTCTCCTCCTCCTCCCCATTATTCTACTTAATATGTCAGAAGGTCTGATCGCAGAGAAACCTTTTCAAGTCCTATTGATGTGTTCCTCAATTGACCATGGCGACCTAGCAACCTAGAGAGCGCTAATTGGCAAGAGCTCCACACTATTTGCTACATAGTTTACACAGAAACATTGGCCCAATATGTAACCATTATAAAACACAAATCAGATATGTTTTGTTGTACTGCTTAAACAGGATGAGACATTTTTTTTCCATATTGTCAGTCTTAGTAGTGAGGCAATTAAACCAGAAAGCTAAAAGCAGGATCTGTTCTAGTTTCTGAGTGGTGGATTGAATGAGGCCGATTATTTCTGAAACACACACACAGAGAGTAATAGGTTGATTTAGGTCCACTTCATGTGATATTTTTAATGGTAGTATACGATATCATAAAGCTACTGATCCAGGCTTAATATTCTACGCTCACTCCCACATGCATGCTCTACCACCTTAACCGCCCCTCTTTCTCTGAATTCTGACCAAATCTTTAAAAAAAATTATCAAGTGGCAAGATCCTGTTTTTTTAAAAAAATTTCTAAGAAAATGAATGCACTGAATTGGCCAAATCTGAAATGTTTTAATTATTATCAATGTTCTTGTAACAGGCCAAGGACAGCAGATTTTTCTGTGAAAAAACATAAGTGCTGGATGTATTTAGTTTTCAGGAAAATTAGTCACTGCAAGCTTAGAAAACAGAAAAGATCCTTTTTTTGGCTGCGGCATGTTGATGTAAAATTTAATTTAGATGGTAAAAAAAAAATAAAATATATGACAGAAGTTATAGATTTCTTGTCTAAAGAGCCAGTGATCTGAAGAGTTGCTTGTATCAAAAATGATACATTAGGCATTTTTGAGATGCATACATCTTAGGCTTTGTATGCCAAATAAATGCTTTTTAATATATTTTTTTTTAAATAAAGAAGGATATGTTTTCCTTTAGACCTGATGAACTTAGATTACATTCTATTAAGCTAATGCTCTTACTAAAAACGATTCTCTAAAATTTTAGGTATTGAGTTTTTTATTGGATGCTTTTGAGAAAGCACTTCCTCCTTTGAAGCTGGTTTTCCTTTTTAAATGGGATTGCAAGTCATTATTTAGGCTTTTACTGAATTAGACATAAACAACTTTTATTGTCATTTTGTATATACAGAGTATATAAAACAAAATTTCGTTTTGTACAGCTTTCAGAACATTCCCATTTCAAAGTGCAGCAGTGATCAAATGACATACTGCTAAGTAATCAGAACAAAAATCATACACTGATTATTTTATATTTCTTAAAGGAACATGTTCCATATATTTATAAATATATTTACAAAACAGGAAGGCTTGTCTCAAAAAGAACTTCTTGACAAACATGTTATATATTCCGCTAAAAGTATAAATTAAAAGATCTAAAAATATATTATACATATTTGCTTTAGAATGCAAAATGTGTTTTTTTTAAGGGTGCCATGTTTTTTTTATTAAGCACACAGAATGTAACTGTTTGGTATAATTATTACATGACTGCAAAAAAAAAAAAAAGTACCAATTATGTTGTAAATAAAAACATCTGAGAAAACAGGTAATGTTTAAAAAAGGATGTTTTAGTTTAAAAAAAAAACATCCATCCAATTATTTCAACAACTATTTCAGTTTTTAAAAAGTTAGTAAATGCAGAAAATTATTCATCTTTTAAAATGTAATTTCTTTGTTGATATGCTCCTAATTGGAATTTACAACAAATTTCTATGCTTATAAAATTGCGGTATTACTTGAATAATGATGGCAAATGTTATGGTAACACTCAGTGGAAGAATCAGATGAATAATTTAAAAGAAATACATAGGTGACAATGTTCTTTTTATGGAAGAAAATGGGTTCATCACAATAATCAAAGAACAACATTTGAAAAAAGTTATTAAACTCCAAGATAGGTCATTCCCTAGCCTCTTCTGTCACAAAGCCAGGATGAAGAAACATCTTATTGGGGGATCGACGACCGTAATAGATTTCAGCAACAGCCCAACTAATTTTCTTAAA